AAGGAATTAGGCTTCTAAAGATGGATCCTTGATATTGATATCTATTAAGATACTCCAAAATCCGAAAACTGATATTTTTTTCAAATTTTTTACTGATCTGACCAGTGGATCCCCTTAAGGACAAGCAGGCTAACCCAGATTTCGGGGGGATTCCAAAAGTGGGCATTGTCCTACCTATAGGAGAAGTTTGGTTTCATTGGTGTGTTTATTTGTTTGTTTTTTTTAGAAAACTCTCCTTGTCTTTTACTACAGAGACTGAATATATAAAGATCCAAAAACGTTAACTTCAATTTTCTCAAAACAGCCTTTTTCAAGATAGCCCCCTTGAGCTTAAAAGCGACCAATATATGCGTATCGAGTTCAATATTCCCCTCAATGAACAAGGTCTAGTCTGTACGAGTACATGTACAAGTGTACGACTTTTTTCAGTAAGTGTTAGTGTTGTTAACTTAGCGTTTTGCGGTACTTGCAACACAATGTTATAAATGCTGAAGATTTAATGGTGTTACAAGAGAGTAACAAGCACAACAAAGGAGGAGAGAAAATAAGGACAATAGATTTTTTTTGTAGAAAACCACACCAGAGCACCTGCCAACCATTCGCATTACAACTTGGAAGAATAATACCAATAGAAGCCTACTAAAGTGAAGTCAAAAATTCGTGGCGCAACTTATTTTCAAATGATCTCCTCAACTCAAACTTTTTTCTAATTACGAGATTATTTTTATTGAATGCATGTATACGTCTTGAGAACTTTTGTGCAAAAAAGTGTTCACTATAAAATTTATTTTTTTGTAACTCTAGTTCTATCATCCGTAAGCCATTACGCAAAATAATGAGTGTGAGAAGTGGGTGGCAAGTGCTGAGAGGGAACAATCCCATTTTCCGCGTGAAGGAGATTTATTCATAATATAATATAAAAATAAATTAATGAAGAAAAGTTTTTTAATCCAGCCTCAATTGTGGTGGAAAAATATGATTGAGGACAAATGGATACAAACAGCTGTGCAAAATACAGGTGACATTGATTCTCCGGTTAAAAAGAGATCATATATTTGACAAGTTGCGCCAGGAAATCTTGACCGCACTCTTTACAACTACGACTACTATAAGAAGTCAAACCTGTGCCTAACAAGTCCCAATTGTGAAGGACCAGAAAAAACAAAATCTCCTCCATCTCTGCTTCTCTAGAGATTTAACAAACAATTAGGCTACTTGGTAACCAACAATGTTGGCCAACATCAGAATATGTTACAAGAGATCCAGACAGAGGAAAAGAATACAAAAAGATAAGGTCAGACATGACGTTGAATCTTGTAATTTTGTATTGGGATCATCACGTTATGAACAAGAACATCGGAACAACAAGAACTAGAAGAAGCTCTACTCTAAAGTCCTGTTTGTGTAAAAATGCAAGGTATTTTTTATTATAACATACACAGAGACATCTCTACACTTAAAGTTAAATTCAAACCTTCATTGTGAAATATTCTTTAAAATTACTGATTTTAGAAACCAGACATTCACACTCTTCAGACGTAAACAGGATATATGAATCATAGTGTAGTGCCGGTATTTTATTCATCATTTAAAATGGAGAGGAAATGATAAAACAAAGCTTCACTTTTAACGGGGGCCAGACACTCATCTTTCAACTCTCACTTTCATACTGAAGAAACTGGAATTAAAATTAAACAGCTGTACGATACACACATTATAAACAGAGATCAAGTATAACATGAAATTCAGAGTTCTTTGCGCAGTGTCTATTCTACTCTCTCAAACATGGCATAAATTTAAAGTAAGTGCAGGAAGGTGGAAAGCACCACAGAGTGGGACGGAAGGTCCTTCTCTTCTTACTTCTTTTCTCTGTTCTCTCTTGTTTCTGTCCATCTTACCAGTTCACTCCATTAAATTAAATAGCTGTTGGCACTGATGAGCTTCTCTGTACTAGAACCAATTACCATAAAAACAAAACAACCTGATTTACACGAACTTCATGGGACCGACTATTTCTTCAGGAAGTGGAAGTTGCGATGCATTGATTTCATTGAATGAAGAGGGGAAGGGGGAGGTGGGGGGGGGGAGGGAAACAGGTGTCTGAAAATATACTGAACAGTGAAATCCTTTCGTCAGAACAGCGATTTTGTGTTCTGCTTCATCAATTAAAACAGAGTCGATTGTAGAACTAATAAATCAAACTTTCAGCTCGACCTACTAAAAATAAAGACAAAGTTCACAGAAAACAACAATCAACCTGAAATCAGTAAAGACTCGGACTAAAGTTCACGTGTGAGTGTGAGGCAACTTTTGAGAAGCCAGTTTTTCAAAGAGAGAGCTCATAACTTATTATTATTATGTAGGCCTACTGGTACTATGCTATTATTAGCAGTAGCAGCAGTATTGGTGCCATGGCAGTGCAGTGAAATCAGGATGAGGAGAAATACATCATGAAGAAAAAGAGACTAAGATGATGAAAAATATAGCCCCTCTAGTGTTCAGTTTGTTGAATAAGGGACTCGTAAAGTATTAAAAGTAATGAGTACAATAAAAGGCATTTGTGTGTGTTGTGTGTGTGAGAGAAAATTAAAATCAAAACAACAGCAGCCTACTAAAAAAATTATATATGTCAAACCTGTGTAAGACGGCCACCCATTGTCAAGGAGAAAAGTGGCCGCATAAGACAGGTGGCTGTCTTAGGCAGGACTGATCAAGATAAAGAAAACAAACCATTCCCATCTGAGGCCCCAATCGAAAGTAGCCCCATTGTTGTTGTCTTTGTTGGTGTTGTTGCTGTTGGTTTGTATTTCGTTTGTAATTTTTATTTTGTCGCTGATTTTGCACAATGGACAATAAAACTAAATGTATCAGACAAGGAAGACCGAGTGCCATGTTAAAACAAACACATGGGTCGCCACCACTCGGAGAACGAGGGACGCTTCTGTAACAAGTTCATGTTGACGTCCTTTGTTACTTTGTTACAGACTGGGTAAACAGTAACCACTCATCTCACTTACGATTTGTGTATGAGTTTTGGGCGGGGCTTATGAGTTATGAGGGATCACACGGTAACTCACCTGCAGCTGAAAATTGGTAGCTATTGGTCAACAGTGGGAGGGGCCTACGCAACATGATCGGTTATAGGGACTACCTAACAACAACGACAGGTGATTGAATTATGACGGCTCGCCCACAACGCCAGGGGCCAATGCACAATTTATGACAAAACGTAATGGATTCACTAAGGTGACCGTCTTAGACAGGTATTATTGCTTAGTATTTTAGGGGTTGTGTGTTAAATTTTTGTGGCCGCGGCCGCGTTGGACGGTGCCCGTTTTACACAGTTAAATTATATAGAAAAAACGCAAGGGGGAAATGGAAAGTGGCCGTTTGTACAGGTGGTCGTCTTATAGAGGTGGCCGTCAGGGCAGGTTCGACTGTACAATACACGACATGACTCCTTTGTAAAATAAAAGGCTGAATGACAAAGTGTTGACAAAACTGAAACTGACTTTTCATGGAAAAATGGAGGTCACCATACACATTGGGTTCAAAAGCAGTGTTTTGTCAGACTGATGCATGAAAAATGGAATTAAAAAACACAAAAATGATTAAAAAATGTAATTAAAATAGAGACCTAATACTAATACCTAATAATGGACTTTGGACGTACAGAAAAATACTACCTGACCTGGTACACAAAAAGTAAAAGGGAAAGTAAGAAAGAAAATTTATACATTATATCGTTGTGCAGTCTATTCAAACGGCTCGGGGGGAAAAGGCAAGTGTATTTTGTCATCAATATATATCGTACAGCATTGTAATGGAAAACGGAATCTTCAGGAGAAGCAGAACATCTTTGACTTCAGCTATTGACAGTCAGTTACACAGAATCGCTCATTGCCCATAAACTGTTGGTGATGAAGAACTGTGACTGCTTCTCCTCATCAAACTTGAAGGTCTTGGTGCCTGACTTTCTGCAGATAACTGACATCAAAGCTAAGGAATAATGCAGAAAAACCTGGAAACTAAAGAAAAAATCAGCTTTCGAAAAATGGGAATATAACGTGTACAAAACTCTATGCAGTGCAACTAAAAATCGTGTACACTATATATCAGAAGAACAATGTAACATCAAGTAAAGTAGGGAATGACTAGAAGTATAATACAACAGTCGAATCTGCCTTACTTAATGGAAACCTGTGTAAAACGGAAATCTGTCTTTCGGAATCTCCCCACTCCTCCCTAGATATTCCTCTTTTATTACCTCTGTGTAAAACGGAAACATGTCCAACATGGAAAGGGAAAGAAAATTCGCTCCCTTCCGAGGGTTTAACCTGAAAAAGACGGAAAATGCTTTGCCCTGATTTGAAACAAAACTGGCAAGGTTTTGTTCCACTGCTAAACCTAACGTCATGCCACCAGGGGAGGAAAGGGAGTAGGGGTGCAATAATTTAAGGGTAGATGTTACCCCATCTATGTGAGCCCTGAGCGATGCAGATGGTAAGGATAGCGTAGGTATTAAATCTCATGAGTACCAGTGAAAGTGCTTGAGTAGCGAGTCACCATGGAAACTTTCCTGGGTAGCAAGAAGCCAGAGGTGTAAAATAAAGTTTGACCAATGACTGCCGCCCTGATTGCTCCTCGAATCGTTGTTACATGACATGGCAGTGAAGGGTGGCATTGGTTGATGGTGCTTGTTAGACCGATGGGTGAAGCTAAGGGTGGAAGCAAAGGAGATATTCAACAAAGGCTTCTGTTTTTAATAGGTCAATCAAACAGTGGTCCTATGAAATGCAAGCACAGGTGGTAATTGGATAAATAAGAAGACTGATGCATGTCCTTATCAGACAGGATAGCAAGTGAGGTGTGGAAGTTTTGACCGTTGCTTGCTGACCTGGCAAGCGACCCATGATGATCCCACCAGGCTGGGGCTTTGAAACCCCCTTCATCTCCCCCCTAAATTCCCCTGTTTAAGACGGAAAAAGTCGAAGACGAAATTTTTTTGGTCTTTTTTTTCTGGCTCCCTTGCGATTCCATCTTACACAGATTCGACTGTACATCATGCATCATGTACAAGAAGCGGTAAGAAGACCAGAATTTTATTTGGTAACGCACACCTGGAGGTCAGATGAGATGCCAAAGTGTTACGGTACAGTATTCTTTTATTAAATATCAACTACATGGCAGTAAAGTGAAAATATCAAGCTCAAAAGAAAGGTCTTGCCCTCCAGATAATCATGCCTTTTGAATTGTTTTAAATTTCCTCGAGTTCAAAAGTTATGAACATTTTTATGATCAAGTTTTGCCTTGGCCTTCAGTTGGTCCTTTTTTTTGCACTGATTTTTGTGCTTGAATTAGGATGCATTTTTAGAGAAAAACGACATTATTTCGATAATATAATCATCCAAGTGCGTCAAAAAGAACCTTGAAACTGTAATCACCCAATCATCGTGTTATAGCCTTGCACTACCCATTCATGCAGCATACCAATTTAAAGAGCTGTAAATAAATTCTGCATCATAAAGGGTTTGTGCCCTACACAAAACCAACGGCTCCTAAGCAAAATAATATAGTAATAGGCATATTCAATGATAAGTCCAAGTTTTGCATGGCAAAATGCGATTGTTCTGTTCTCTGTTTTGTCTGAAACTATTGAAATAAAATATTATTTATTGCAAAGACAAAGTACTCTTCATTGGATTAATGCAAAGTATACAAAATGTCCATTTTATCAATATTGATGCTCCTCAATACAATGCACAAAGACAATTTTACATTTCTTTAACTTCGCAAACTTTTGCCAAGCCTGGTTTTAAAGGTCAGTTTGGAGTGATCAAATCTTGGGTGTCTCTTAACATAGTTGAATTATTAATGTGTGTCAGATGATGCAGAATTTATCTTTAAATTGGTTTTCTGCATAATAAGTGGGTAGTGCAAAGATTTAACACAATGAATGGGTGATTACATTTTCAAGTTTCTTTTGGATGCCACTGTATAAACATACTTGTACTACAGGGTCATGTACCACATTTTTAAAATAAAAGTAAAATAAAAGCAATCATAGTGACAAATAAGTTACTGTATAGCTACGCATTTGGGAGAGAGATAGCACGCTTTTAAGATAGGAATGTCCACTCCAAACGAGCTGAGTAGCAGGCCTACCAGATCAAGTGAAAAATCAGAAACCATGATGGAGAAAAAAAACGTTAACCCTATCTGTACGCCCTGGGATCGTTTTGTACTTCCGGAGTTGTATTCTTCACATTTTAGAATACTTCTAGATCTAGTTCAAAGATCACTTTGAAACTTTCAGTATTTCTCAAAAAATCATTTTGACACACGGCTATGCAAAGTGTACGGATCAGATTAACGAGTAAATTTCCTCTTTGGTAAGTGGTGGCACAGAGTTCCCCACAGGGTATGGATATGATAGTAAAACACAATGAACGGATAGGGTTAACCTTCGCCAGCGGTCGTGGGCTAAAAACGACCCAGAGGGTATAAGTCGAAGACTTGCTTTAGCTGGTCAGCCAAACATGCCACTGACCTCAACTACTACTGAAATCTAAAAGGATACAGCCCTTCACCTCCTGGTTCCTGTCCTCTTCAGACCACCTGATTTTGCTGACATCTCTGTACAGGTTGACAGAAAATCTGAGGAAAGGCAAAGAAAGACAGGAGAAACTTTTATCACAACGCATTCAGGGCACCAAATATTAGCTATAATATTAATACGAGGGTCACAGAAGTAAGATTTTATATGAATTCATTATTATATTTATATATATATATATTACATTAATATAATTACAGTCAAAACTGTCTAAAACAGCCACCCACTGTCGGTGAGAAAAGTGCCCATTTTACATCGTGTCATTATAGTAAAATATACACAAATGAGGGAGTGAGAAGCAGAATTTTGCACAGGTGATCACCTTGTCTTATAATAGGTGGTCATTAGTAGAGCAGGTTGGAATGTAATTATAAATCATAATCAATATTGGGTCATTACTTCAATATATATATATATACTACAGCAGTTTCATGGTTACAATGATGATGCTAAAATGCAAGAAATTTTACAAAACTATCAAAATCAGCCTTCAACTGATTTGCGAACCAGAACTGCAAGATTAATAAAATCACATCATCGCACATGATTTTGTACATAAAACATACTGCAGCAGAAAAAAAGGACTTTTCTATTATAAATAAACCATTGAATAAACTATGACAGATGAGTACTTTGAAATAAGGTATGATATAGCAGATGTGCCAACTCCATGATCAAAAACAGTTTTCCTCAAAATCCTCCTAACAAAAAAATAGGAGTAAGGGAAAAAAAGGCTCCCCCGGAACCCCCCCCCCCCCTCCTCAGAATCTCCTGTAGATTAAGATTACATAACAAACCAACCATGGCAAATACACTTATCTACTGAAAATACACGCAAACAAACGTAAAAATAAACATTATGTCTTTTCACAATTTGCGACATAACTCTCATGTCTCAAGTCAATAAGAAGAAATGTTTCTGGTCATGCTATTTGCCATAGATATGACTTGGCGGAAACGGCTAGACATAAAAAAATCCAATCAGGTGTTTTTTTACACAAAAAAATATTAGAAGACCTCTGGTGTTATCGGATAATCGTAGTACTTGGCCGGCCTGTCCGATAGGTATTACAATCATGCACAAATGAAGGAGTTGGCCTTGGAAACAAACATCTTGACTGTTCTTTCTTCCGAGGTAGAATCAGGCTCTTGTCAATTTTTGGGCATATAGAGTTAAAGCTAGTTCATTTGTCTTACTTTGGACGAAAAAGGTATCCATTTATCTTGAATAGAAGTCGAGATATTTGCGAATGAAGGAGACAGTGGGGGCGCACCTGGTCTTCGAGGTAAAATAGTGAGAAAATGGCCGCCAAATATGAGTTATTTCTTTACCTTGAAGGTCAGTGGAAACTGAAAATTTATATTTTTTGCGGAGTAAAAAAGCAAAACTAATAAAACATTGGGGAGATTCATAGAATAAGAACGGTGAAACTTGCTTTCCAATATACTTGGACTAAATGTAGAAAGAGAAAAGATTACTCGTTTTTGGGGTTTTTTAATATTAATTAAAATAAATGAAATATATCTCATATATATATATTCAACAAATAAT